GCATATTCTCTTGCTTGCAAAGCTCCTTCATAAACGCGACGCTCGACACCTTCCAACAAAAAACAAAAATCATTCGCCCGCAAGCGGTGACCAGGCGGCGACCAGGCTGCTGAGCATTTAGAGAAAAATAAAAGGTCGGTAACGCAAACACAATCCGGCCATAACGAGCAGACGTGGAGTAACACGCCATTTGGTCTGACAAGACAAAGCAACCAGGGTCGTAAAACGCACGGGATATTGAAAGCGGGATTTTATGGAGAAACTAGCCAATAGAAAACGAAACCCGAAATCGGTATCAAAATAGTCCTTAAAGTAGGACTTCAACAATAATTTGGGTTTGGAGTAACAGCAGCCCTCATTCTAATGCAATAATCGCATCCCTCACTGTAACATTACCCCCAACCTCAACTTCATCCATCACTAATTATAATTATAACACTATACCCTAACCTACAGCCAAATACCCTGCATGCGTCTAGTCTCACCAGACATATGAAGTTAAGCAGGTTTGAGCCTGGTTAGAGCCTGGTTAGAGCCTGGATGGGTGACCACCAGGGCTTGCTAGGTGTTGTCAGCAGCGACGGTGAGGTGGCAGCTTTGCTTATCCACCCCTCGTGTTTGTGGATTTTCTCCATGTGCTCAGATTTAATCTCACATGACACTCATGTATGATACTGGCCAAACACCCCAATGCAGGACACTCCTGAAAATGAGTATTGAGCCTCAGGGAGGCTTTCCTGAGTAAATGAATGGCATTCATTGGCATCATAACCTGATCTCAAACAAATACTAGCCCTTAACGCAATCCTAACATAATGCTACCCATAATACTAATCACAATCCAACCCAAACTCGAATTCAATCACTCAACTAAGTCTATGCCCACCTATAACATAATGAAGAATAAACTAACACAGCACTAAGTCTATCTGTAACAAAAAAAGATCCCTGTATAGCCTTAACAGACTGTAGGGGCAAGTGCTGTTAGCGAGCACCTATGAAGGCCGGCACGGCACACGAGGGGTGGGTGGCCAACACCACGCCCGGCCGCCTTTGTCTCCCTAGTGGCGATGTTTACACATTGCACCAGGTACTTATTTGAGGCTGAGTCGACCTCGGGGAGGCCCAGAACCGGTTCAGATCATCCTTATTGGTGTTGGCCGTGAGCGGGAATCGAACCCGGGTCGCCAGGTTCTTAGCACTAACCGCTACACTACCGCTCCCCACTCCAAACACACACACACTATTCTGAAGCGGACCACTTCCACATAAACTTAGCCTAACCTCCCTACCTATCTCTAATACAGATCCAGACCCGAGCCATACAATACATTATAACCATAACCTAAATCCCACCCTGGTCATCTCTTGTTCCAAAGCCTAGAGTGACTATTACAACCCTGCTCGTGATTTCCAATTAAACCAGGGTCTTCCAAAGAGACGTTCCACAAAGTAAACATCTTCGACACTCATGCCCGAATTAATTAACATTTCCATCACTGTGATTTAGACTTACGACATTTTCGCTTCCACACAGCGCACAATTTGCACACAACTCCGCCAACCACACCAGATGGTGTTTGCAACATCCGATTTAAGTCTGAATTTAGATCATTCTCCACTTGTGTTATTGAACTGCTGTAGTAGCTGGATCAATGTCGGCTCGGGAGCAAAATGGCTCAGCGGTAGGCAGTCTGACCACTGGGCCATGTGGCCAACTCGATGCACCATCGTGGGTTGGCGAGTTTGCGGGCAGCCATGTGCTCCAACCTGTGCACTAATTTACCCATTCCCCAAGTGCTGATCCACACGGCATCCCTCGACGTTACGAGGCATGGGGCGGACGATAAATTAGCAAGCGGCTCAAATTGAGTTGAGTGAATCAGTACGGTAAACGAGATTGCCGCCTTCCCGTGTTAAGTGCCAACACGCTTAGCGCAGAGGGCGCAAGTTTGTCTGCAGGGTGAGCGAGAGGATGGCGGAGGGCTCATGGCCAATGGAATCGGCAGTGTGTTGTTTGCCGACAACCCTGGCCACAAGGACACCAGAACCGAACTTCGCCAGCCAGCGTTTTTGTTTTGTTTATAATAATCAATACGAAACAACAGCTCTCCGTTGTGTTTTCAAGTTGATTTTTCGACTTAGTTCCTGCAGGAGGTGCCAAGATGTGGAATGAAACGTCTGATCGTCGTGCCGAATGAGTGGCACAACCCGAAAACACATGGAGGAGAGCTGCACGGCGCAACCGTGAACACCTTCACGGCAGCAATGTCAAACGATCCTCACCGTCACGGACGACACGCGCCATCGCGGGTTAAAATATCGACTTTTGCATTTCCTCACCTTCGTCATTGTAAAATCGAGTAAAAAATACACTAGCTCGTACAAGATTTTTCATTTACAAGGTTATTTCCCTTTTTGTCAGGCTTTTTTTTGCTTTTTTAAATAACCACAAAGACTACTTCACCTTGGTAAAACGAGGCGTCGTTTAAAATTGACTTCAGATTGCCTCGGCGGCGTACAGCTTTTAGCTAAGAATCCCATCGGACGGGTGTCTGGTTGGCTGGGCTTATTGCATTGACGGCTTTCCGTAGCCAGGAATGAGCTGCAGGTCAGAAGGCGGCGCTTCTTTCTAAATTGGATAAAAACGACGAACAGCTCAACGAACAAGCCTACTCAGACCGCTAATAAATCTGGGAAGGGCCCCGCACTAACTTAGCAAGCCCCAAAACGGGGACATGCGAGCGCGCGCTTGTTCGACGAGCTCTCGCGATCACACCCCCCTCGTTGGCCTCAACGAGTTATAGTTCGGCACTTGACGAGAGTCAAACGGTGCCGTACGGTCAAGAGTTCAGTTAGCAAAAACAACGGCCGGACCCAAAGCCGCACACGCGGCCGATTCTGTAAAAGTGTAAGGTCATCGGCGCCCGTGTACAGCGCCGCACGCACACCATTGAACACCGAGATATCTCGAGCGCAGATTTCCCACGCGACTCAACCGTTTTGGCAACAGTGTTAGTAGGTTTGTAGTTGCACGCTCACGCTGAGGTACTAACCACGCACGGTCTGCGGTGCCATAACCATCAAAAGCGACGCATCCTGACGGGTATTACCCCACGCAACCCCAATGCACGTTAACAATTTTAGCACGTTAGGTGAAAAGCTGAGCGCGCTTGCCTCATTGAAATAGAATCAGATTTCGAAGCCAAAGACTCATGTTTATGAAATCCGATTCCAGTCACACTCTTCCACGGCATCACTTTCCTTTGCATCACAGGGCTTCAAGTGAAGTCCGTTTTGAGTGTACATCCACGCTAACCGTTCCACATATAAATAGTTCATGGAGGTCTTTGTAAAAGACCCAGCCCTACCGTGCTATAGACACCAAGAGGATCCAAACCTCAATTCTCACGCAAAAACAGTTTGTGATTCGGCTGTGGTGCCGTGGCAGCCGTCGGTGCTAAAGGCTCACAGAGCGCGAATACCGATTTCTGCACGGTGCGGCGGGTGATCGATTAATTTAAAATTCAACCGCAGCGATAAAACCCCTCACTGTGATCAAAATATATTTTAAGACTGCGGTCACAAGGCTCGACTCTATGGAAATTACATTTTTTTGATGGCACGGCTGTTGTGGTGCCTACTGGGGGGGGGGGGGGGGGGGGGGGGGGGGGGGGTGGGTGGCATCACAACATGCTCCAGCTGCTGCCGCAACTCACAGGGGAGTCGCCTGTGCCTTCCCACAGGCTGCACGCATGCAGCTGATGTCACTGGGTTTACGATAGCCTCCTTGTGTACATGATCCTTCACCCAACGTCTTAGCCTTACGCAGTAGACAGCGCTGGTTAAGGGGCGATGGAGAGACGAGCGCTGTTTTGGCGGAGATGCATGCAATGCAGAGGGACCTGCGAAGCAGCCACTCAAGAGAACAGTTGCTTCACAGTAAAGAGGTCTCGCGAGCGAAGCTGCCTGCGTTCACCAAACGTTCGCGTGTCCATCAGCGACTCTCACCGTCGAGGCTGGCGCGGGCTCCCTCCTGACCGTGGCCAAAACCAACGCCGTCGGTGAAATCAGACGACCTCCCCTGAGCCAGGCTCCCTGGAACCCGCTCGCTACTGGACAAGAGACTTGAGTCTTCTCAACTCACGCTGATCGTCGAAAGTCTCGTCATGCAACCGCGGGGCAAAAGCCTCCTTCAAAGTTACAGCTCCCCGACAATTGCCCAAAGTGGGTTAGGGCACACAAGCACAACCTCGCCCTTAGCGTCACCCAGCCCAGATACTCAGGCGGCAGATAAGGCAGTGTGTGGCCTCCATCAGGAAACATTCGACGGATGAATGGCATACAAGTTCAGCGCAGTGACGCACTGTCACTCTCCGGTACGACTGCTCGGGCACCGGTGTGTGAGGCTGGGAAAACAAACATGGGACGGTGACGTCGATTGGTGAGCAAAGGTGGTACCCGACAGTCGACGTCCCAGATGGGTGGGGGAAGTGGGGAGTAGCAGTTGCCCAACTCGTGAGTAGAGGCGAGTGTAATTGCAGCGCGATGTAGTTTCTGTGATTTAAACCGGAGGAGCAAAGAAGCAGCCCTCGGGTGTTGCGTGCACAAGGGTCTGAGCGTGCACGCGGGCTCGGCTCTCCAGTGGGGCGATCAAGAATCCCGCATTCCAAAACAACCCAGCCACAGTGGACTAGGGTGCTAGTTTTGTGATGGGGTTGGGATGTGGATATCGATAGCAGGTAAGGTAAGAAACAGGGCAAGCGCTAGGCCTCTGACACTAGCCTCACACCTAACCATTAACTTTATTAACTGTACCCACCCACCGGCTCACCTACTCATCCAACCCGCTTGTAAACCACCATGCTCACTTGTCCCCTCGCTCTGTCTATTTGCTCACCCACTCAACTCAGCCACCCACTCGTCCACATATCTCTTCATCATTCCCACTTGCTCGCTCGCTCCCCCGCCGACCCCCCTGCCCGCCCGCCCGCCCTGGACGGAGCACCACCACCACCACCACCGACTGGCACCACCGACTGGCACCACCGTCTCACACGCGCGTGTGCCGGCCCGACCGCCCGCCCCCAGCCTCCGCGTCTTCGGCACCGCCCGCGTCGGCCCCTCCCTGCTGCTGCTGCCCGCCCGCTGCCGCCCCTGCGCCGCCCTGGGCCGCCACGACGCTGCTCTGGAGGGCGGCGGGCGTGAGCCACTCACGGGGCAGGCAGCTCTGCAGGAAGGGGATGCACGAGCTGACGTAGGCGAGGCGGTTGACCCAGCGCGGGATCTCGCGGCCGCACAGCACCTCGCTGACGGCGCTCGAGAAGTGGTTACAGTTCTTGCGCATCAGGTGGTAGGCGTCCCCGCGGAACTCCCGGCCCAGCTCCTCCACGATGCTCTCCACGTCGCCCTCCGCGAAGTCCGTGGTGCCCAGCACGATGGCCTCCTTGAAGCGGAACGCGTCGCCCAGCTCGCCCGCGTCGCCCGGCGAGATCTCGAAGACGCCCGAGAAAGGGTACGGGTGGCCCCCGTACGCGAACTCGCGGCCGTACACCTCGACGCCCGAGTGGAAGACCCCGATGCCCAGGGACGCCGTGTACTCGTTGATCCAGTACATGTCGTACACGTTGAGCAGCACCGGCTGGTTCGCCATGGCTGGCGGGTGGGAGGAGGCCCGGGGCCGGTCTGGGGAGGGAGGGAGTGAGATGTGAAGGGACGGAAGGGTGGTAAAGGAGATGGAGGCCTCTGCCTGGATTCTCTCTCCTACCTCTCTAACCCCCCACCCCCCAACTCTGTTTGCCCTCCTCCTCCGCCACGTCGCCACCTGGTTTTATATCTTCGCGTATAAGTGGACTGTAATGCACTCCGCTCATAATCCCCACCTCTTCCCAGTTGCTCATCACCCGCTCTCTCTCCTTCCCAAGGGTCCTGACCACGTTCCTCCTCACCTATCCCCTCACCCCATTCACCAGGTGCTCATCACCAGGTCCTCATCACCAGGTCCTCATCACCTGCGCCCACTCTCCCTCCACCTGGGCCCTCACCTCCAACAAAGTCGAATTTCTTCCCAGTCCTCAAGACAGTGAATTATTATTTCCGCCGCTCTCTCCGTGTCACGGGTCTCCGCCGCCTCCTCCTCTCTCCCTGCTTCACCTCTCATCATCCTCTCTACCCCCACTCATCATCACGTCCCCACAACCCACCCCACCACTCTCTCTCGCCGGGCCCTGACCACCGCCAATAAACCAAACGCCACGGAGTGACGGTGACGTCCTCCGCGGCCCCTGTGCCAGGCCAGGTGCACCTTTTGAGGCCACGTGAAGTGTCGAAAGGGCTCGCTGCTGGCAGGCGGTCACGGGACAGGCCCATGGGTTTCCCGTGGGGTTGACCGACTGAGATGACTACCGCCAAGTGGTGTGACCACCCACCGGCACCCCCACGGTGTGCCAACTTGCTGCGTCGTACGCCGCCCGGCGCTCCGTTCGTTGTTGCCAGCGGAGCTCCTCTGCCCAACAAAGTTCCCCCGTGTAGCCTTAACAGACTGTAGGGGCAAGTGCCGTTAGCGAGCACCTACGAAGGCCGGCACGGCACACGAGGTGGGTGGCCAGCACCACGCCCGGCCGCCTTTGTCTCCCCAGTGGCGATGTTATTAGGCACCGCACCAGGTACTCATTTGAGGCTGAGTAGACCTAGAGGAGGCCCAGGACCGGTTCAGATAATCGTCACTGTGGTGTTGGCCGTGAGCGGGAATCCTCTGCCCACCACCGCCACTCATTGACATCTCCCTCCGGTATTCCCCTCAACCTCCTCACCCACCCACTCCCCCCAACCCACCTCTTATACGTTCACCTCGTCTCTGCCACCTTCATCACTGCCCAACCACCACCACCCCCCACCCCCCCCCACCATCACCCCCCCCACCACCACCACCCCCCCCACCAGCACCATCACCCACCCCCCCCACCACCCCCCACCCCCCCACCACCACCCCCCACCCCCCCCCACCACCACCCCCCACCACCACCACCACCACCCCCCACCACCACCACCCCCCACCCCCCCCACCACCCCCCCCACCACCCCCCACCCCCCCCACCACCCCCCACCACCCCCCCACCACCACCACCCCCCCCCACCCCCCACCGGTCTCTTCACCTCCTCGCCCCGCGTCTCGCTCTCCGGGAGTCGCTGCTGGGAGTCGCCGCTCGCGGCACGAGCGGCGCTGCGCGTGAGGCGCCTCGGCGGAGTTTGTCGTCGTTGTTGTCGTCGTTGTTGTCGTGGCTAAGCAGGAGGATGAAGAGGTTTGATGACGACGACGATGACGACGACGAGGTTGGTGTGAGGAGGCGTTCGGTCGCCGTTGGCGCTTGAGCAGGAAGCGACGAGCTGGTGGGGAGGGGTGGGGGGGGTCACGGGGTCACTGGAGGGGCGGGGTCACGCGCACGGGGGGTGAGGGGCGGTCTGGTAACGTCAAATAACTTAAACGGCTCGCGCGCGATGACGCCATACAACGCTTCCCCGAGGCGCGAGTGACGCAATGCGACCAAATGGGCGTCCACGAGAGGACGTTACCACGATGACGTTGCGGAGGTGGGGGCGGGTGACGTTGGGTCCGCGCGTGAGGGATGATGTAATGGTTTGCGGACAGGTACGACGTCACACCAGCGGGAGACGTGACGACGTAACTACGTTCTGGTTCCACCCAGCGTGAATAATTAATCAGTGGTCGCCCAATGTAGCCTAGTCACCGCCATGGTAACGTGGATTTTCCACCTAAGGCTCTGGGGCTGTCTAGAACACCCCGACTCTGCGCTGATTCTGAGCAGAGGGGACATTAAGACTAGGACAAATATGGACCATTTCCCACACAAAATAAATGTATGGTTTTTTTAATGGAAATTGAGGAATTCTTCCGACTTAAAACTAAATCCAGTGACGGTTGAATCACCTTACAGATAGACGTACCACGAACACGTGATTATCCCAAATATTCCAACGTTAAGCACGGTTGGCTACGTACGGTGCGAAAGAAGTTCAACATGCATACAACACAGGCGCATTCAAGGAGGAGAGGCCGGGTTTATCCCAGGAACATATTTCAGTATTTTATTAAAACATTTGAAAAGTTTCAACTCTATTGTTTAGATACAAAACTTAGGTTAAGTGAGTATTTACAAATGACAAAAACAAGCGGGAATTAACGTCTTGCGGGTCACGCTCAACATTCTGAACCTGAAGCTACGCACTTCCTCCGATTACACGTCACCAAACTGAAACTCTGGAAAACAAACATCAGCGGGCAGTTGCATAAAACATCTGAAGTAGATTATTTTCCCTTCATCTATCATTTTACGCAGTATACAAAGGGACCCATCACCAAAGGTGGCCTCATGCAATCGTCCCAAGGACTCGAAATATATCAACAAGGGGTGGAGCGGTGGTGCAGCGGTTCGCACACTTTGCTAACATCCGCAGTGACATCTGATACCATATCAGGTGTTCAACCCCCTCGCCGATCCACACTGACCAGCACAGTGAAGTACGCTCATGCGACTCTCGTGACAGAAACAAGGGAAGGCCATCATACAGCAGCGAATTGACAAAACGGCTGTGATTCTGATTGCATTATTAATAATAGGAGGATTTGGCTGCCAAGAGTGGCACTCAGCCGGCACAGATGATACCCTGCGTTCTAATCCAAGTTTCTGGCCACCCCTGGTGATTAAGCCGGATTCTCGAGCATTACGAGTTACAACTGGGTCCAGTAAAGAAAGCTCAACTAACGACCCAAAAAGGAGCGTGGACGAATGCCCCTTCCCCACCCTCCCCACCCCCCGCCCCCCCATCGCTAGAGGCGCTTGGGGTCGACCTTGTCGAGCTGCACCAGCGGCTTCAGCTGCTCGGCGAAGCTGCGCATGTCCTCGGCAATGGCGTCGGCGCCGCCGCCGCCGCCGGCGCCGCCGCACACGACGCTCAGCTCCAGCAGGTGCGACGGGGACAACGGCTCCGCCGACTCCGGGCTCCCGGCGACGAGCAGCCGGAACACCTTGCACACCACCACCTACGCGCACCAAAAACAACACACATCCACCCGTGGAGCTCACGCTGTTGTACGTTTGTTGTAGGTACGTTGAGCTTCTCTCACACTGTACGTTGCCAACCGTGCTAATCGGAGTGTTGCGGGGGAAGGACAACAAACCCAGCACAAGAAGAAGTTCTAAAGAAATTAGCTTTCAATCTAGACGATTTAAAAGTGCATAGCTCCAGTGGCTTCCTAATATCGGAAGAGCATTCCAGACGGCCAAAGAAGAGCATCTGAACGCGAGCGATGCGGTGACTGTCGCCGTAGCCTAACGCTGCTGCGAGGATGACGAGAGTTAACGTGATGGTTTAGTTCTTTTGACGAGATCAGCAAGGTATTGTGGTTAATCTGTGGCAAGTACTTTGTGTGTAATGAGTGCGGCCTTATAATGTATTCGTTTGGCAACCGGAAGTCAATGCAGCTCAGCGAGCACTGTTGGGACAAGTGCTGCTAGCGACCACCTACGAAGTGCCTGGAATGGTGCACAAGGGGGGGTTGTGTGGCCAGAACCAGCTCTGTCTCCCCAGTACTGATGCGTGCAGACCCCACCTGGTACTCATTTGAGACAGAGTAAAAAAAGTGCAGGGGTGGGGAACCTGCTGCCAACTGAGGACCGAAAAGGACTTTCAAATACCTTTGGTGCAGTCACTTCTTTCGCTGCAAGATGAGTGTGGCCAAGATGGTTACGATGACATATACAGCTGTATTGCATTCAGGCCATATCGAAGTAGTCGGCGTCATGTGGCCACGGACCATGTGAAATAAAGACATAGGTTCTCCACCTCTGACCTATTGGGAGTCAAAGAAAATTCGGATGCAACTCACCACTGATGTCAGTTGTGGCTAGGCATCAAATCCTGGTCACAACCTCCCTTGACAATACCCCCCCTCCTCCTTCCTCCCGCACCTTCATAGTTCCCTTGCGGTAGATGTGTCCACGTGCGATGTACTCGTGGTCAGTGCGGAAGCCCATGTGCTGCAGGAAGGTGGGCAGGCACTCCGAGGCGGCCACCTCCACCACGCTGCGCACCAACGCTCCCCGCTGCTTGTCCCCGACCTCAGCTGTGCCCACGTAGCGAAGCTGCCATGGCAGCTGCAGCGCAAGCGCACACGTGCACACGGATATGTACGAATGCGTACAGATAACGTGCGCTTTGATGTGCGCGAAGCACAAAGGCTCAACACGTGCATTCGCACTGACATGCACGAGAACTCATGAGCACAAGTGTAACACGAGGGGTACAACAATTGATCTCCCTGGAAATTGTATGAATGTGCAATTCACAGCCAAAAAATGTATGGATTGTTTCCAGTTTCTTTTTGCCTTGATTGTATCGCTGTTTGCTACAATAGCCTGCATCTAAATTTAGACGACCAAACATGAGTGTGCACACACATGAATGCACAAATGCACACACATAGACGTGCATACGCACAGAGAAATACAACGATAAAGATCCCACATATATACTTTTACAAAATGTTGGGGCAAGTGCTGTTAGTGAGCACCTATTAAGGATGGCATGGCACACGAGGGGGTGAGTGGCTCGCATCACACCCAGCTGCCTTGGTTTCCCCAATGCTTAAGTTTCCACACTGTAGCAAATACTCATTTATTGGTTGAGTCAACTTATGGGAGGCCCTAAGCAGTACAAATATTTGTCACCGATGTTGGCCATAACCATTAATTTAATTTGGGTCGCCAGGTTCATACCGTAGCGCGCTGAGCACCACACAAGAGCACGCACATGTACACAACAATGAGACGACAGAGGAATAAACACGCTGACGCGCGAGATACCCCTCTCCACACACCCTCACCCCGGGTCGGTCCAGGGCGTGCCGCGCCCGAATGACGAACGGCGACCCCTGCCCAGGCTTGAGCAGGAAAACTATCTCATGGTCGGCAAATGATTCCGCCTCCATGTTATCGCAGAGACCACGCAGGCGGCTGAGCACATTGTCCACGCTGCTGTCCAGCACGCTGCCTGCACACGCACAGCCATGCACGATTATACAACAACTGCCGTTCGCTACTAAGTGGTGGTGAAGTCACCACGGCGGTTGTGCACTTTGAGGCCACTTGAAGTGTCGAACGCTTGCTGGCAGGTCACGGGACAGACTCAGGTGCCATGGATTGACTGAGATAACTGGTAGATGCACCATCTGTGCATCCTACTGTGCCAACTTGCTGTGTTTTAGCTGCCCGGTGCTCAGCTAGCTGTTGTGAGTGTTGCTCCTCTGTCCTCCGTTGTTGATGGAGGGTAACTGCCTCTAACTGCCCAGCAGCGTCCTTCACTGGCCTCCTCCGCAGAGGCTGATTTTGACAGTCAATCTCTTCTCTAGCCCGTGCCACGCCCGTTTTGCCCCCTCTATCCAGCCAAACAAAATCTGTTTGGGCATGCGGTGGCCGGGCATGCGGTGGACGGTCATGCGGGCTACATGCCCCAACCAAAACAGCCTTGCCTGCCGGAGGAGCTAACCGATGGGACTATGTCCAAGATCTTTCAAGGATCTGTGAGCTCTTCACACAATCCAGTCTGGTTAAACCCAGGATGGATCGATCGTAGGTAGGCCAGCCTGAATGTTTCTGACTGGCGCCGATGTTACATTCGGTGGGGGTCCACGTTTCAAAAGTAGCACACTGGCATGCACACATTATACCGGCACACACGCATACAAACCCCTTTGCACCACACGAGCACATAGATACAATCCCATACACCACTATACACGACATTGGCATACGCAGATATGAGTACACACTTTAAGACGCGGAGAAGAAATGATGAAAGTAGCACTGCAAGACGCCTCTGCAATGGGAAACGCCAGCCGGAGGTAAAAAAAGACGGTAAATGTTGCTCTACACGTTTCAGACAAGGGCCAAACACAGGGTTCTCTGTCCTTTGGCTGGAACTGAGGCCATCTGAAATGCATGGCTATAAAAGATGGTGCTCATGCAATTTTTCTATCCATGTCAATGGGAAGGGCTCATGTGACCCACAAAAGCAGGTCGTTGGTTGGTATTTATGCGTCGGTATTTACTGCATGTGAAAGCCCTGTTGGGCCCTCGGCAATGGAACTGTTCCCCAGCTCTTGACGAGGCGAGTGTGGCGAGCACCTTGCAGGAGATATTCCATGGAGCTCAGACCTCCGCCTCCCGTCAGGGGCTGCACCGGAATACCGTGCTCCTCCATGCTGCACGACACACGGGACAGGGGGAGACACGCCGTGGTTCATGAACACAAACGCACGGTGGCAGATGAAGGCAGGGAGGTGGGGTTCACACACCGGCAGCTAGGGAGACGTCGGAACAGACGGACAGGGACACGGAGATCTCTCGTCAAGCTAACGCAGGGAACGCGCCGGAGAGGGCGACCGGCGGGGGCCCGTGGACCGTGGAGACGGGGCGAGGAAAATCCGCTGGCGTGCTGGGGCGAGACGGGCTACACGGGAGGAGGCCTCCATCCCGCAGCGGGGTAGATCACGGAATGGCGAGGTGTGTATATATATAAGCAGTAGTGTGTACACAAAGTTAAGGGTGTCGCACATTCACAAATGCCGTGCCACCAGCGTTGCTCCCCTTACAGCGTCGAACAAAAGCCATGGCCAGAGAGGGTCCGGACAGAATGGCAATACGCATTACTGGAGGGATCCGAGGAGCCACAGCAGCTATTTTAGAGAAACGGTAAGCGAATCACGCGAACGCCGACAAACGAAACTAAAGCATCCACACCAGTGCCGGATTATCCTCGTAGCAACAGTAGCTACACATGCTACGGGCCCCGAACTTTCGTGGGCCCCAGCGCTAAACGCTTTCAAGCGATCAATTCCGGCTCAGCGATTCTGCACTTGCCCTATTACTATAGTACTGTACCGCCTTCAACTTTTACCCACTGGGAGTTTAAGGTTAGCGATTTGTCGTATTATCTGGGCTGTATAGCGAATGAAAAAAAGATTACAATTACATTACTACACGAGTTATAAATGAGTTTTAATATTTACGTGTTTTTTATATATATTAACGGCACCTAATAACAACATTTGCTACAGGCCCAGCACTAGCTTAATCCGGCACTGGTTCCACACCAGACCGGGGCACACAGCCCCAAGAACCCGAGGCGCTTACAGCATCTTCATACTCCTGGTTCTTTCGGTAATTTTGATTTCCTAGCTACGTGATGACTTTACCGAGAGAATCAGAGAGTATGGATTTCCTGCAGTCACGAAAGCTCCGAATCAACATTTTACAGCAACTTCGATTTCAGAAGCGACGCTGGCCCGCAACAGGGCACTGCCCAACGCTGATGCCCGTGGCTCAACGTTGCAAATTCACCAAAGGGTTGGCGTTAACTCGTTGACGTTGCGGTTATGATGATGTTAGCGATGTTGTTATTGTTGTTATTATTATTGTTATTATTGTTGTCGTTCTACGAACCTCGCTGTTGCGCGGTGCCCTGGACGGCGTGTGCAGGGGGTTACGTCATCGCTACGGCACCCGGTGAGGTTGCCCCGAACGCGATTGTAAATTAACTTCCCTTTAATCAAATCAAATAAATCACCACCTACGCGACTTTACCGAAATAACAAAAGAGTATTGATTCCTGCAGTCACGAAAGCATCAAATCAAGATTTTACCTTTAAAAATCAATGCACTTATAAACTAAACTAAATATGTATTATTTTATAAATATTAAGAAATGGTTTTACCCTTTCTGGCAATAAAAACAGGCGTTAAGATGTTAAAACAACAAACATAACTGTTTTGCAAGGAATACTGTCTGCATTAACCACACGCACTTGTGGTGAACATGCAAACAAAACATGCTCTGGAAAATATTTGTTTGTTATTTTACCAGGATAGATTTTTGTGTAGATTTGTGTTCTTCAGAAATGACCTGGCAACAAATGATGTCAACTCCTTATCAATGATATACCCTGTCAACTCCTTATCAATGATATACCTGTCAACTCTTTATCAATGATATACCTGTCAACTCCTTATCAATGATATACCCTGTCAACTCTTTATCAATGACATACCTGTCAGCTCCTTATCAATGATATACCTGTCAACTCTTTAACAATGATATACCTGTCAACTCCTTATCAATGATATACCTGTCAACTCCTTATCAATGATATACCTGTCAACTCCTAATCAATGATATACCTGTCAACTCCTTATCAATGATATACCCTGTCAACTCTTTATCAATGACATACCTGTCAGCTCCTTATCAATGATATACCTGTCAACTCTTTATCAATGATATACCTGTCAACTCCTTATCAATGATATACCTGTCAACTCCTTATCAATGATATACCCTGTCAACTCCTTATCAATGATATACCTGTCAACTCCTTATCAATGATATACCTGTCAACTCCTTATCAATGATATACCTGTCAACTCCTTATCAATGATATACCTGTCAACTCTTTATCAATGATATACCCTGTCAACTCCTTATCAATGATATACCTGTCAACTCCTTGTCAATGATATACCTGTCAACTCCTTATCAGTGATATACCCTGTCAACTCCTTATCAATGATATACCTGTCAACTCCTTATCAATGATATACCTGTCAACTCCTTATCAATGATATACCCTGTCAACTCCTTATCAATGATATACCTGTCAACTCCTTATCAATGATATACCCTGTCAACTCCTTATCAATGATATACCTGTCAACTCTTTATCAATGATATACCCTGTCAACTCCTTATCAATGATATACCTGTCAACTCCTTGTCAATGATATACCTGTCAACTCCTTATCAGTGATATACGTGTAAACTCCTTATTAGTGATATATCTGTCAACTCCTTATCAATGATATACCTCTTCTTTGGTTCTTTCGGTAAAGTCACGTAGAATGAGAATAAAATAATAAATTGATAAAATAAAATAACACAATAATATTCTCACGACGTTTCGGCCACAACACAAGCGGCCTTCATCAGGTGAAGGGACGAGACTGTCTGGTAGGACAGCGCTGGAGTGAAAGAGCCACGTTCAGATCACGGCCTTTAAGCTGTGTGAGAGGAACAAAGCGCCTTGACAAAGGAATTAGCATATAATTTAGCATTGAAATGGCTGAATGATTAGCTTGTGACTGGTCACAGAAATGGCTATGTTAAAGTTAAAGCATACACATCCGCAGAGGCACCGCTTGACAAAGGAATTCAATTCGCCTAGTTATTTCAATGCTAAATTCTCCTGTTTGATTTGTACTAGGTGCCTCGGTGAATGTGTATGCTCTGACTTTAACATAGCTATTTCTGTGACCAGTTACAAGCTAATCACTCAGCTATTTCAATGCTAAATTCTATGCTAATTCCTTTGTCAAGGGGTGCCTCTGCGGATGTGTATGGTTTAACTTAGCTTTTTCAATGCTAAATTCTATGCTAATTCCTTTGTCAAGGGGTGCCTCTGCGGATGTGTATGCTTTAACTTTAACATAGCCATTTCTGTGACCAGTCACAAGCTAATCACTCAGCCATTTCAATGCTAAATTATATGCTAATTCCTTTGTCAAGGCGCTTTGTTTCTTCTCACACAGCTTAAAGGTCGTGATCTGAGCGTGGCTTTTTCACTCCAGCGCTGTCCTACCAGACAGTCTCGTCCCTTCACCTGATGAAGGCCGCTTGTGTTGTGGCCGAAACGTCGTGAGAATATTATTGTGTTATTTTATTTTATCAATTTATTATTTTATTCTCATTCTACGTGACTTTACCGAAAGAACCAAAGAAGATGAATCCTTGCAGTCACGAAAGCTTTAAATCGAAATGATATAGCTGTCAACTCCTTATCAATGATATACCTGTCAACTCCTTATCAATGATATACCTCTTCTTTGGTTCTTTCGGTAAAGTCACGTAGAATGAGAATAAAATAATAAATTGATAAAATAAAATAACACAATAATATTCTCACGACGTTTCGGCCACAACACAAGCGGCCTTCATCAGGTGAAGGGACGAGACTGTCTGGTAGGACAGCGCTGGAGTGAAAGAGCCACGTTCAGATCACGGCCTTTAAGCTGTGTGAGAGGAACAAAGCGCCTTGACAAAGGAATTAGCATATAATTTAGCATTGAAATGGCTGAATGATTAGCTTGTGACTGGTCACAGAAATAGCTATGTTAAAAGTGAAAGCATACACATCCGCAGAGGCAACCCTTGTTAAAGGAATTAGCATAGAATTTAGCATTGAAATAGCTAAGTTAAAGCATACACATCCGCAGAGGCACCCCTTGACAATGGAATTAGCATAGAATTTAGCATTGAAATAGCTGAGTGAATAGCTTGTAACTGCTCGCAGAAATAGCTACGTTAAAGTCAGAGCATACACATTCACCGAGGCACTTAGTACAAATCAAACAGGAGAATTTAGCATTGAAATAACTAGGCGAATTTAGCATTGAAATAACTGAGTGATTAGCTAGTGACTGGTCACAGAAATGACTATGTTGAAGTCAAGGCCTACACATCTGAGCTATTCACAGTACTATATAGTGAACCAATAAAAAACTAAAATATAAATTACCTTAATGTTATCAATAAACTCTATATTCTCCAATCAGCTAAGCTACCAACAATAAGTCGTTATATATCACAATGCTATATGGCGAAAAAATGGGTGGATTCTTACCCTCAACTTTAGCACCACGGATAGCTACGGGCCCCGTTCAGATGGACGAGTTCGTCCATGGTCGGAACAGAGGAGGGGGAGAGAGACAGCTGCGAGGCGCTATTATACTCCATGTTGTAAAACCATACCATTAACCGTGGTGTGAGAGGTATTAAGAGTCAATGCTGGCGAAGGAGCTGCGGTCTGAAGGTCATCGTAAAAATACAATTAATTAAGAACAGAAATGATTTAAAACATCTTTCCAGTGGTTACTAAGCCAGAATCCATCTTCTCGGTTGAAATTGTCTCTGTGCTTGTATTTGTGAATGGCCTCATGAACGAATCTCTCATGGTAGCCGGTTGGTTTGCAAAGAACCTCCGTCTTGGAGAAGTCAATGTCATGTGAGCCCACTGAATTATAACAGTGATCTGCCACGGCAGAGGAGTTCGTCCTACCGTGTTTCAAGTCTGCTTTTGTTCGCGGATGCGGTCCGAGATATGTCTTTTGGTTTCTCCAATGTAGCTACTACCACAGAGGCACTTTAGTTTGTAAACGCCCGGGTACTGTATGTCTGGAACAGCATCTTTTACAGATGGAACTAAATCACGGATTTTATGTACTGTGTTGAATCGGACCTGGATCTTGTGTTTATTCAGGATTTTGGAGATCTTTTTAGTGACCCCTGCAATGTAGGGTAAGGTGATGGTTTTGAGTGGCTCCACAAGAGGATCCTTCTTTATGACTGGAGTGATGGCTTTGCGGATTGTGTAGTCGGAGTAGCCATTAGCCCTGAGAGCCTGGTGTACGTGCTTGAGTTCACTGGTAATGTGTTCCTGGTCGGAAATGCATTTGGCTCTATGGTATAGAGTCTTGATGAGGGAGTTCTTCTGGGATGGATGGTGGTGGGAATCCGGTTTCAAGTAAGCATCTGTATGGGTAGCTTTCCTGTAGACAGAGTGGCTCATTGAACCATCATGTCTCCTTTTAATTAAGACATCCAAAAAGGGTAGTTTGCCATCTTTTTCGACCTCCATGGTAAATCTGATGGCTGGGTGTATGGAATTGATGTGGTCGCGGAATTGGTCTAGAGCAGGCTGGCCATGTGGCCAGATGACAAAGGTGTCATCAACGTACCTCTTCCATAAGGTCGGGCGTAGAGTGGCAGTCTGGATGGCGTCAGTTTCAAATTTTTCCATGAATACGTTGGCTACAACCGGAGATAGGGGGGAGCCCATTGGGGTGCCCTCAGTTTGTTTGTAGAAAGTTCCATTCCAGGTGAAGAATGTGTTGGTTAAGCAATGTCTCACCAGGGGGGGTACATCAGTATGCAGTCCTTGATGAACCAGGTCTTCAATGATAGCGATGGTGTCAGGTACCGGGACTTTGGTGAACAAGGACACCACATCAAAACTTACAAGCAGGTCGTTTGGGGACAGGGAAATGCCTTTGATTGTCGATACCAGGTGAGTAGAATTTAGTACCGCAGAGGTGGTTTTTCCAGTGAAAGGTCGCAGTATATCAGCAAGAAAATGTGCCAGTTTGTAGGTGGGGGAGTTGATAGTAGAGACGATGGGACGAAGGGGTGTATCTTCTTTGTGTATCTTTGGAAGGCCATATAATCTTGGTGGTCTGGCAGCAGAGGGTTTCAACGAGAACTGTTTGATCTCATCAATTAATGCTGTTGAATCAGAGATGATTTTGTTCGTTTTGGTAACCAGGCCGTTGGTGGGATCTCTTTTTCATTTTTGTATAGCTGCCATCGTTGAGTAGTTCTTGAATTTTGTTGTTATATTCTGTTTTGTCCATGATTACAGTGGCATTGCCTTTGTCGGCTGAAATGACGACAATATCATCCCTCTTTTTTAATTGAGATAAT